TGACACGGCAAGGGCCCTGGGGAGTTGGTCGCCGTGACGTGCTGGCTTCAGAGGGAGCCTTCCCCCGGGCCAGGTCAGCGCGCTGCCCCCTGCTGGCTACAGGGGGTTTGGTTCTCTCCACCTCCCCCCATGAATGTAATAAAGGTTTTGACTTAAGGAACCACAGTGTGTGTGTGTCACTCCCTGCTGGCTGTGTTAGTGTTGCTGGCACCCCCTGCTGGAGGGACAGGGCTGTGCTGCCTCTGTGAGTGTCACTGGTGCCCCCTGCTGGCTCTGTTGTGTCCCTGTCCCTGCTGGAGGGGGAGACTTGAAGCATGCACAGGTGCTGCCCTCTACAGGAGGACAGGGGAAATGCATGCTTGCATGCACCTTTTAATGGCACTAAGCAGGGGGAGAGGCAGTACAGGAGAGTCCCACTGCTCGCTTGCTCCACGTTACCCACAGACAATGCAGTGTTTATTAAAGCTTTGCTGGGGCTTATGAGGGAGACACAGGCGGGGGGCCCAGTAGAGAATCGGGGAATAGAATGCTGCTGTCCTGACTCCATTTATTACTAACTAGGGGGTAGCAATGACAGTCCCATCAACGCAGGGGCCATGGGGCTGTGCAAAGAGCAAACAAAAAGACTAGACCCCACTCCCTGTCCAGAGCCAGGGAGAGAACCCAGCTGTCCTATTAACCCCCCCCCTCGTTCTAACCACTAGACCCCACTGCCCTCCCCGGGACAGAACCCAGGCATCCCCACCCCCTGCTCTAACTCGGCACAGCAGAGTTCACTCAGTATTTGTTTGCTGTGGCCCAGGCCAGCGTCTCTTTATTTCCCCGTTACGTGACCTGCCCTGCTCCGCAGGGCTTTTAAGCCTGAAAGATTACGGCAGGAGTTTTACCCACCCTGGGAAACCTTCTCCCAGCCGGCTGGGGGCTCCCCACCCTGTCCCTGCTTAGCTGTCGGTCCCGCAGCACAGGGGACTGGTGTACAAGGGGTTAACCCTCCAGTCCACAGGGAAGGGCCGCACCCCTCCTGGTTTAACCCTTTGAGGGCTGGAGCGAGGGGCCTGGTCAGTTTCAGGAGGGTTCAGTCAAAATCAGCGCAGGCCCCGGGGCTGGAGAACTTGGGGTAATGGAGGAGCTTGTCCCGGGGCCGGGGCAGGGGCCAGCTGGAGCTAAGTACGGCATCCTGGTCGCAGGGGAACTCGTCCTCTTCTTTGAGCTGGAGGGGGGGAGAAAGGGGTCAGACCCACAGGCCCATCCAGCCCAGCACCTGCCCCAAGCCATGGGCCCATCTAGCCTGGTATCCTGCCCCTCACCCAAATCAGCCCCATGTAGCTACCCCCCAGGAACAAGGGGAGTGGCCGGTACCTGTGCAGGGAAGTCATCCATGGGGAGGAGGGCAGGGGCCAGCCGCCTGCCCCTCTGCTCCTTGTCCTCACGCCCGTGCCGGCGACGCTTCTTTCCAGTGGGGGTTTCCGCCTGGGATGGGCTCTTGGGCTCTGGGCCAGCCGGTGGGGGGCCAGGGAAGCGCCGGGGGGTCTCCTTCTCTGGAGGCTCGTTCTCAGTATTTCCTGGGGTGGGGGCTTCTGTGCTGGGGCTGCCTTCATCCTGGGGAGGGGGGACAGAGCCATTCAGCGGGCACCCGCCCCGGGCTCTCCGGAGCCGAACAGGGCCACAGTAAAAGGCCGGCTTCTCTTGACAGCTCCAAAACAGAATCTGCCCCACTCCAGGGAAGGACCCCCTAGTGGGGAGAGGGGCTCCTACCTCTAGGACAATGGTGAGCTGGCTCTGTCTATAGTCATCCCCGTAGGAATCCAGGACCCTCATAAGGAATCTATAGGGGGGACAAAGAGCAAGACATGCTGACATCAGGGCCCCGTCGCACTGGGCGCTGCCCAGATCCAGAATCACTGAGATCGGGGGCGCCGAGCGCGGCCGAGACCCAGAGTTGCCGAGATCGGGGCCCCGTCGGGCCAGGCGCTGCTGAGACCCAGAGTCGCTGAGATCGGGGCCCCGTCAGGCTGGGCGCTGCCCAGACACAGAGTCACTGAGATTGGGGCCCCCGTCGCGCCGGGCGCTGCCCAGACACAGAATCACTGAGATTGGGGCCCGGTCGGGCCAGGTGCTGCCCAGACACAATGTCAGTGAGATCAGAGCCCCATCGGGCTGGGTGCTCCCTGGACACTGAGTTGCTGAGGCTGTCACGCTGGGCCCTGCCCCCGTCCCCGAGCTCTCACCTCCTCTCCTGCTTGAGCCGCCGCGTGATCTTCTGCACATGGTGGAGTCGGTTCAACACCCTCTCGTTGACCTGGAGCCGGGGACGCAGACACATCAGGCCGGTAACTCACCCAGGCCGGAGCCTTCTCCCGCAGCACCCCCCACCTCTGCCCAAGCCCCCTCGTCCAAGGGGTCACCCCTTGCG